AATTCTTAAATCTTTCACTCAATTTCCACCTTAAATAGCAATTGTTATCCACTGAAAACAATTATTATCCACCTTAAAACGTTATAAATCACACGGAGAGATGTAGTATTTCAATATTTCCTTGAAACAGAAATCACAAGGGTCTAATCAATTTCACCGCAGAGATACGGTGCAATCGGACATGTACGATTCCCGTAGCAGCCGCTAAAGAGAAAATTCTACTTATTTGTGCACTGCTCGATGGTTCGTTATCGAATTAATTACGATAAAAGCGTACACGAGTGTCTAGCTACTTACGTTCTTCTTTCCATCTCGAGTCGATTGTTTGTAAACTATAGTGCAATAGTTCCCTGCTACCAGCGTGTTCCGATAACAGAAATTTCACCGAGTAATAATTACTCGCTTGTGCACACATTTTTTCCTACGCCATTTTCTACATCTAGATTTTCTTTCGCTAGATAATTTGCTTAGCGTAAGATGTTTCTTGTTGGCCGCGATAATGTGCGACTGTCTGCACTCGAATTTCTAGGAACACGTTCCACAACCGAGCGTTTCACGTATTTTCTGACCCGAAAAAGTCCGAATCGGTTGGAACAGCGATCTTAATAACGCGGATAGCAGAATTACGTCGGAGTCTTATGTTGCTCTGTTTACTTTCAGAAAAGATTGCAGAGCTTCGATATAACAGGGAAATTCTTATCCCCTTGTGGAGAGCTCGGACGAGTTTTGCTTTCGATTATTATTCTATTTTCAAGCTTACTTGCTATTTCTGATCTAGTTGCAGAAATACCTGAATCCACAAATTTCTAAATTCCTAAATTGCTATATCTTCCAAATTGCTAAATCTCTGAATACCTAAGGCTTCAAATTTGTAAACCTCTAAATTCTCATATATTCAAAATTTTTCGTTCACAAGTCCCTAAGTCATAAAATGTTTAAATCCATAAATTTCTCAATCCTTAAATCCTCAAGTCACTGAATTACTAAATCAAGTTTAAAAATTCTTTAAGACCACAATTGCTATAGCCTCAAATTGTTAAATCCCTGAATACCTAAGTTTTCAAATTTATAAATCCCTAAATCCTCGAATCTCCAAAATTCTCAGTTCACAAATTCTTAAGTCCCAAAATGTCTAAATCTCTAAATTTCTGAATCCTTAGACCTGCAAGTCACTAAGTTACTAAATCAAGTTTAAAAATTTTTAAAGACCACAATTTTTACATTCCCAAAATCTCAAGTCTCAAAATTTCTAAATGAACAAATCTTCAAGTCTTCAAATTCCTAGACTCCAATTTTTTAATTTCTAAATCCCCAATTCCCTAGATTCCCAATTCCTAAAATCCCTAATTCCCAAATTCCCCGATTCCTGAATTACAAATGATCACATATAACAAATCATCACATATGACAAATCATCACATATTACAAATTACTATTATTACTTTTACTATCATTGTCTCTCTCCCTGTTTATGAATGCAAAAAAGTAGTAATGAAGCTGTGTCAATAATAACATATATAAATGTCTAGTAATGTATAATAATTAGTGATTTTTATATACATTTTTATACGAAGAACATTTGGAGAACATTTGAAAAATTTGTAAAAAAATTTACATAACCTTGTTAGTTTATATTTTATATAAGTTCTTATTACATTTATAACATTGATGTCTATAGTTACATTTAACTATAATACACTCTTGTTATATTGCCACAGATGGGTTAAAGGTAACAGATTTTTTAATCGACAATATATTGGACAAAAATTGTGTTTTTTAGAAGATTATTGAAATTTAGGAAGAAGATTATTAAGGTTAAAATTCGTGTGATTGGTAATATAACATGTGTGGTGATATAACGAACTGTGATATAACGCGTGAGAATATGGGTAGCAGTACAAGACGTAAGAATACGGTAATCGATATTTGAAGACTCAGTAATTAGAAAAATTGATGGTACTGAAATATTTACAATATTGCATTGATAATAGACATTAATTATTCTTTTTCTAATTTGCAAATTTGAACGCGGGAAATTTGAAAATTTGTAAACTTAGAAACTTGAGAATTTTAGTGTTTATAAATTTGACGACTTCGAAAGAATTTCGAACTTCTTTTAATTTGAGAATTTAAAGATTTGACGATTTAGAAATTAAGGAAGTCATCAAACTGGAAATTAGGAAAATTACTAATTGAGAAATTATAAAATTACCAATTTAGAAAATTTGAAAAATTTGAAAACCACTTTGAAAATGTGACAATTCAGAAATTTGGAAACTTTGAAAAATTCGAAAACCAATTTGAAAACTTGACAGTTCGAAAATTTGGAATATTAGCAACTTGGCAATTTGAAAAATGACCAACTTGAAAATTCGAAAGCTACAAAAAATTTGAAACCTAATTTGAAAACTTAACAATCCAGAAATTTGGAAATTTTTGAAATGACCAACTTGAAAATTTGAAAGCTTGACAATTCAGAAATTTGGAAACTTTGCAAAATTAAAAAACCACTTTGGAAATTTGACAATTCGAAAATTTGGAAAATTAGCATCTTAGAAATTTGCAAATGTGTTAATTTATGTATACGATATTAGTAACGCATGACAATACATGCAAGACCTACACATACAACATGTAACGATATAACACAAGTACACAGCATATAGATAAAAAAGTTAAAAATGTAAAATATAGTGGTACGCATACCATTATTACCCATTATCAATATAACCTTCATGAAAATACCCCCATAGCGCTATAACGTGATGATATAACCGCGATAGTAGTCCCGCACCAATCCACCCAATGCTCCCCAAACTTCTCCCAAAAACTGCAATATAACGCGAGCTAACTCTCAAGGAAAGTTTCACGAAAGAATCGTCGTTTCGAAAGGTTCTTAGAACCGAGCAAAGAATGCAATAAAATTTCGTAACAAGAAATCAAAATTATCTTGTTCGAGTGTGAAAGCAGCGAGTTTATCGGGTGCTCCACATAATTAAGTTAGCAGCGAGCATGGTACAATGAAACTTCTCGATTAATCATTAGTGAAGGAGAGAAACAGTGTGATACAGAGAGATAGGTATATCGTCTATTTATAATTATAGCGAAAAAAAAGTGCATTGTCGGATCTTTAATCGAGCATTCGATATACAGTATTTACCTTTCTTCTTTGCCTCTTGCAAACAAAAGCGTATTTGTATCGCATGGCGGGGCACATAAAAGGCCTTTGCCTCGTACAACCAGCCGAGTGCTAATAATTTTTTCCGTCGAGTAACGACCGTAAAAACGTTCTTTCGTTTGGTCGAAATATTGTTTCTGCTTGTACTTGCAAACTGAGTCTAATTAATAAACCACCAACCGCGTACTATGAACATCTAACTACACAACGAACAGTTTAAACGGTTAATACTTCGTGTAAATACGGTTGCACCGCTGTATTTTACGCTAGAAACGACCCATTGTATACCTGTGTATTAACCCGATGCTTATTTGATTAAAATGATTTTTTTTCAGGAAGCATTCTTACTCATGGTACTTTAAAATATTTTTTAATTTATATTAAAAGTCATATGTTTTTTTATTTAATACTCGAGGTTATTTATTTTTGCAGTTAAATATTAGGGGACATTCATTTTTCAATTAAATATTAGAGGACATTTATTTTCCAATTAAATATTAAATTTTTTCAATTAAACATAAGAGACCATTTATTTTTCAAATTATTTTTCATTGATTCTTCAAATAAACTACTAAACTAAACATCAACCTTGTTTTTCAAAAGAATGCTATTTCTTTATAGATATTATAATTTTGAAGTATGTTTAGCAAATATTATAATTGAAGTATGGAATATTATTTCAAAGTAAACTTCTGAATCGACAATTTTATTAAGTAGGCACTTAACATTTATGAAAATCTATTTCGCAATATCATTAGGATAATAAAGTCGATTTCTTAATGCGAGGATATTTCTCCGACGATTGCTTGATTAATAGCAATAAATACTGTTAATCTCCTTCGTTCCTGGTATGTAATTAATTAATAATCCAGCTCTCAGATTTATTGAGTAGCTTGTGTATGAATTCTTAATATTAATAAGCACCCTATAAAATATTATGAAATGTAATTAAATTTTAATCACTGAAGAATAAAATTTTTGAGATGCCTAACAATTCTACATCATCTATTATGTACATATTTTTAAATTGAGAATGTATTAGAGAACATGGAAAATAAAATTGAAGATACGTTAATATGGTGGGTATATGATTCCTAACTCTTTCTAAAATTAAAGAATGGTATCTCAGTTTAAAAATTTTAACCTTACAAAGCCTCAAAGTAAATTACAAAAGCACTAAGCTTGAAAGTTTAAGAATGACACAGAGCTTCAAAGTTTATGAACTACAAAATTACAAAGCCTCAAAGTATAAGAATCATAAAATCACAAAGCCTCAAAGTTTAAGAATGACACAAAGCTTCAAAGTTTAAATACTACAAAATTACAAAGTCTCAAAGTTTAAATATTACAAAATTACAAAGTCTCAAAGTTTAAATACTACAAAATTACAAAGTCTGAAAGTTTAAAAACTACAAAGTTACAAAGACTCAAAGTTTAAAGCCTACAAAATTTCAAAGCCTGTAGTTCCTCAAGTCATAAGTTTGCAAATTTCTAAAGTTCCAAGGTTCCAAAGTAAAAAAATTCCTTTTCAAACTTCTAGCCATCCAAAGTTTCAAAGATCCATCTCGAAACAATTCCCTAATCCCAAAGTTCCAAACTCTCAGCGTCACAAAGTGGCAAATCCTAAAACTTCATGTGAAAGTTAAAAAATTTCAAAGAATAGAAGTCCTGACGTCCAAATACCTAAAACTCCAAAGAACTTAATCGTCGCTCCAACGTTTGAAAGTAGGACTTCGAATCCTAGCTCAAAATCACCTAGTGACCGAGATCTATCATCTACAGTGAGATAAACGTGGTGAAATATCGTGGACAGATCACTCACCTTGGCCATAGTGATGGTGTTCGCAGCGGCATCGAGGTGAACGAAGACGTAGAGGAGGATAGCAGTGCGTATCATCGGGATCATCATCGTGTCCTCGGCTGGTGGTACGTCCTCGAGGGTCGAAGGACCGAAGCCACTCACGTACACGCACGCCACTCACACGCACTCACTATTTCTGGCACATGGCATCCTCCTTTTCATGATCTTTTCCTCTGCACGCGTCGTTGTTCCTTCGCCGGGTAACTTGCCACTTTCGTTTCCGGTTAGCTTCAAGCTCAGCCTCCGATTCCCTGTTACAAACGACAAGGGTAGTTACATGCAAACGAACACCTCGGCGAAAAGGACGCAAATGTAAGTATGTCCAGCCGTGGCAACTGCCGGCGAGCAACTGGCACTTGCTCGCCTGCTGGAGCAGCCTGTTCTCGGCCCGATGGCAGACTCCCCGTTGCACTCTACGCTTCTCTTCCTCGCTATCAGGGAATTTCGATGGGTTCCGATGTGACGAAAAACGTACGCGATCAATTTACCATCTCCGGATATATGGCCGCCGCGCTGGGAACGACGGAGATAATTTTTTATCGACGAACGCAGGGAAGAGTTTCGAAGTTCAGAGCGGAATTTTGACATTTAAAAATTTGGGGATGTGAGAATTTTAGAACTAAGATATTTGGAGATGTCGGTTTTTGGGAAAGTACAAGTATGGGAATTTGAGAATTTGCAAACTTGAGAACTTAAAATCTTGATAATTTTAGAATTTGCAGATCTAGGAATCTAAAGTACCAAAAAAATTAATACTTTATAAGTTTGAAAATGTGAAGATGTCACAGTTTGAAAATTTGAGATGCTTAGTCATGCAGAGAGATTAGTCTGTATTTTCCCTCACAAAAATTGATTATTCACCTGTTCAAGTGTAACCAAACAAATGACTGCCCTTGGTTTTTCAAACAGAATACTACAAAATTCAGTAGGTGTGTAAACTGAAAACACATTGTAAACAAATCAAGTAGAAGGACAAAAAGCGCCATCTTCGCTTGTTTTTACATTATCTCCTCTAATATGATCTTATAGTGATTTAACTTGCACATAATGATTGGAATTATTTGTTGTACAAAGACAGAAATATTGTGTCTAATTTAAAAAATGTAAATAATGTATACAAAACACAGTAACAATAATTTGCAAAAATTTTCCATATAGAAAAAAAGAAGTTAATGTCTTAAATTTTTCATTTCAAACTTATATGAACTGATTTCTTTTTAAGCTCTTCAACTCTCACATGTCTCTCTGAGATGCCTACCCTAATACGTATGAAAGGCGTGTCAGAGCATTATCATTTAATTACATTTGTTTTACTCGCAATTTGAAAACGTGATTTTTCAGTCGGTTCCTCTGAAGAAGATAACAGAATTAGCTTGTTTTGCAGGAGGTCGGAATAACCGAGTTGATAGTATTCTTTCAAATAAACCATAAACTATAATTTCTTAGTGTACTGCTCGGTTAAAGTCTAGAACTTTAAATATGATGCAAATAATCCTTTGATAATTATTTTGTTATAGCACACGTTTGCACATCTTTTTAGATCAAGTGTTTGCATGCTGTGTATTGTACTAACTCTCTTATTTGCAAAATGACTAATATATTTCTTGCTATCTTATTTCCTTATCAGCTTATAATCCTAGCAACCTTTCGTACCGGTATATGATTTTATTGATAATGTTCTGCCATTTTAACATTGAAAACGGTCACAGTTCTTCAGTGGTTACTTCATGTAAAATCTATAAAAATAAAAGGAACGTTCATTAAGAGATGCATTCTTTATATTAATTAAGATTGCATAACTATGTTATCTAAAGCTAGTTAACCTTTCTATTAGTTGAGTAGTGTTTGTAGTGTTTCGTATGTTCCAAACAAAGTGTCCCTTTCATGCCACCTCCAGATTCAGTCAAAGGCATTTGCGTTTTCATCGATCCGAATAAAGCGATTTGGTTGCTGATTTCGCTTTCTTCCCCGCGGGATACAGACTTCTAGGTAGATCCGTGCGATCGAAGATTCATGAGTCATCGAGAATTCGAAACCGATTCAGAACTGGTTGTTTGGTCGATGGAATGTAGCTTTTAACAGCGAGCCAAGAGCTGGCCGACAGGAGGGTGTGAGAGGGTGCAGGAGGCTGATCGTATGCGTTTAGGAGCGGACGCACACCTGTGCTCCACGTTCCTCATTAAATTTCAATCGGTACCCTGATTTATTTCTTCGGTGCCCCTAGTTCGCGCTTCCACAGCATTTGGATCGACTGTCCCCTCTAGAAAAAAAAGTCCAGAATCAGAAAACAATGTCGCAGCCTTTCATCCTGAGAATATATTGTCTTTGACTCTTTCTTTGTTACATGATTTTTTCGATTCTGTTACAGGAAATACTTTCTATTTAAAAAATTATATAATACCGCAAATGTACTCGAAAAGTAGAAGTCTTTAATTAGAACTACTTAAGCTATAAGAATAACATTTGTTTAATGAGTCATACTTGAAATTACGGCTCTCAACAAACCAAGAAATCATTCATTAACAAAGTAAGTGGGATTAAAAGCTAGCACTTTGCGATAGGCCATGTGGTCTATGGAACCACTTAAATTGATTTCGATCTAATGAATGAGAGCTTGGAAATGATCAAAGATACCATAGTTCTGAATTTACAACATGTCAGCTTCGATAAGTGGTATTTTATGGATACTTCACACTGTTAATTTATATCGTCAATATTTTAACATTTTCATTGTATATTGTATTTCAGTATTATCGTTAGGTAAATTATAATTAATAAACATTAAGAACCTAACAATATTAACGATACACATTAATCTGATTTCTCCAATAAAAATTAACGAAGATACCAAACGGTGAGTAATTAAAATCACGTTAGACTTCTAAAGCAGTAATTAATAGTACGAATAAAACACGTATCAATTTGTACTAGCAGACATGACGCAAAACGAGATTAAACTCCTAGCCAGATTTAAAAGTGACCAAGCCACGGCTCGTTCCATCAATAATTCCAAACGTTGTCGCGTGCAAGCAATATCTGTCTTCGAGACACCTGCTCAGGACAAGCAAATACAATGCTGTTTAATCGTCCAGAACGATCGAACTCTTCGATTGAACTTGTTCAACTGGTAGCCGTTGCGATCGAGATAATAACTTGCTATTGCTCGACTACCTACGTGCCCATAGGTGTAATTCGTCCGTGGGGTTCGTTGTTAACTCGCCTTTAACAGCCTCATATCACGGCCAATACTTACTGACACGATTGTGTGTCAGGCTGGAACGAAAAAATGAAAATTGTGAGAACGTTTTATTGGTTTACCAGATTCAATCTGCGCTAGATAATTTATATCACTACCTTAATAATATTGACGTTCTTAAACGGTTTCATGTTGAAATCTTTGGAACTCAGAGAGATCTGGATCTACGACAAAATTTTGAACTTTGCTATTGGATAAGAAACTCCTTATATTTTTCTTCTTGTATCAATTTCTTTTCTGTATAATTAAACTGAAACGTTATTAAATGGCGTTAAAAGGTGTTATCGATACGAAAATAATTGAGTTAATTATAAAATATCAAACTTCCTAAATGACATTGAACAGTGGGAAAAAAGAAGAGAACCAGTTTCTTGGAGAAGGAGTTTGGTTGGCACTCGAATGCACTCGGTCCAGCGGAGAAAGTGGCGACAATCGTGAGTGCAATTATAATGTGCCTCTGATGTACGTGAGGACAAAAGCTATTTTCTGTATTCAAGACCTGTGTCTTACAGCTCATATAAATTACTCCTCGTCTTTTCTACAATGTTTCAGATAACAACATCCTAAATCTGCAACGTCATATTTTTAAATAAAATAGTGTACATCTGTATCGCTTCTGAGAACTGTATTTTTTATAAAATCTTTTTTCTGAATCATCCTGTATCCCCGAAGATCAAGCTTAAACTGCAGCCTTCGATGTTGACAGAATTTTACGACGGCCGAGCCGAGAAACGTTCGATTAAAGCCAAAGGTCTGACGTTTACGGTCCCCGGACAATTTCAGATTTTACTTTCCACGATGGAATTCCGAGTGTGATCGCGAATTCTGAAATCGGCCGGTGATTGCGTCCCTGTTCTTCGTGTGCACGAAGGGACTTAACAGGCTGCTCGGACAGCAACTCACTCGTCGTCCACTCCGGCACACCTGTTCACTCAGGTATGCGATCTTCGTTCTCTCTTCGTTTTACTCGTTTGTTTCCCTTCTTCGTCTCTTCGCCTTTCCTTTTGTCTCTTTCTTGCTTCTCATCGCGACGCACCGACGGTGGTTTACCGTTGTCTCGCTGATCCTCGACTCTGGATCCGCTCGCCGCCGTGTAAACCTGCAAACGCAAGCCACCCTGCAATTTTCTGCTCTGTAATGATCGTGCTTGTTCTGCAGATAAACGTACATACTTCTTCGATGCTCCAGTAATTAATTTTTCATTAACAGATGGCTGATTATTTTTTAAGAAGTGATTAATGTACAGACATTACATTGTCCTTATTTTCCTGTATCAGTCATTTTTTATATTTGACAAAGACAGGTACTTTAATAACTACTTGTTAAGTTATTACTAGTTATTAGATAACAAGATTATTTAAATAATTTAACTTTTCTATGCTCTATTGTAATTCTAGCCTAAAGGTAGATAAATTTCGCCGAGGTGCAAGGACTATCGTTGAATCTATTGTGCATCCGCTGGGTGGATCGTTGAGATTCATCCTTTTTCGTTGCTTCCCCGTTCACGGAGCTTACGGTGCCTTCAACTTTCCATTTATTACCGTGAAGAAGGCCGCAGACTGCCTGTAGTCCTGACGGTTTCAGATTGTTTCGGACCGATTGGAACAAGTGGTCGGTTCAGTCTATGAGGGGCTCTCCCCGTTCAGGCGGCTCTCGACCTGCTCGAGCAGAAGAGCCAGACAATAGGACGCCAACATCTGAACCACTGTGTGCATTCATCTTTTTGAGCCGCTCCTGTCTCTTCAGTTTGTTGTGTTGGTTTAGATGTTGCCGAAGATTACGGTCAAAAAATCGTTCGTTGACTTTCCATTCAATCATTTGTTCTCTGTAAACTCCGTTGTTTATGTGCTTCAAACTTTTTTCTTCTGGAGGTGTCTTTCTTCAATTTATGGCAAAATGTATCTGAGTTTCACCTGACAAGTATAATTTACATCCATCGAAACTGATACCAATCGACATATTCAAGTATTATGCAAACAAAACTAGAACACATTATGCCAAAATTATAATACAAATAGTGTTACCCTTATGAGGCAACACCTTTTTATGTTTTGAGATGCAATCAAGATTTTAGTTACGGGACAATAACCAGGATAAGATCAGGATATACTAAACTGACACATATACATATATTGAAAAATAATCTTGTTATGTACATCTGAGGAATGAATCAATAATTTATGTAATAAAATACTTTTGAAAAGAAAGGAGAATATTAAACAGAATATAAGAAGATATATCTGTTATCTATTTTAAATTTGTAAAAATCTAAAAGATATAAAAATCATATCCTTTAGCTTTAACATTTCTTACAAACTAATAGCAAAAAGGAGAAAAGTACTGGTAAATATGAATCGTTCCAGAATTCCCCTAATCCATTATGCTGTTAGGGAAACGTGTGTACTAGACTGGATGATGCAAGTATCAAAGTTGTTCTAATAGACGGGTTAATATGGGCTAGCGTGTTGCTATGAAACGTGTCCACTATGCAAATGTAATATCGCCGTTGAAGCTCTGCGAGTTTAATTCGCCGGGGGTATACAGAAGTAAAACAAACGTGTGTAATCATGCTGCTTCAATATGTCTCAAGGACACAAATTCCAGATACTCATATAAACTATTCTTTTCAACAAAGATCTTTCTTGAATAATGTAGATTTAGTTGTCGCTGGATTCATAAAGAACCTGTTTCAAGACCCTCGTGTCATCTTGAAGCCTGGAATATCTGTAAGATGGACATTTTTCGGTGGACGCTTCATTCGAGTATTTTTGCAGTAAAATCGTCTTGCTGTCGTCTTCGTTCTTAATGTTCCAAATGTTCTGAAAGTATATCATGTAGGTGCTGATGTCGTTCATCGCTGTGGAGGACCATGCGCACACGTACACCTGTAAATGTTTCGCATGAAATTTTTGTTCTAACTTAAATACGTTTTATACTTACACTGTTTTTTAATATTCGTGAACAGGAATTCATCGCGTCGAGGATTATCGAACATAATTTGGCGATATGTGTGGCTTGAGGCGCATCGGTCTCTTTGTAGTCGTTCGCATAGGTGTCGAAGTCATCGATCAGGAGGACAGAAGGCAAGGTTGTAAACGTGTGCAATTCGACAAGTCGTTCGATAAGGGCCTCGTAATTCTCCAAGTACCTGACACATAAAAAATAGCAATTATATAGTAAAGTAAACAATAGAGATAAACTTAAAAAAAAAATTCAGTGAACATACAATACGACAATAATACTATGATAAATTCCTATGAAAAGACCTACAAAGTAACCTACATGACTTATTAAACGAAGCATCTATGAATAAAATGTTTTCAATGTTTATTTTAACATAAAAATGTTTTCTATCGCATCTTTCTTTTGTCATGGAAATCGTGACTATCAGGGAAAGAATTTGAAGTATTTCACTGAAATACCACGCTCACGAAGTGTAAGCATCAGAAAACCTCTTCGGAATTTATAGAAAAAAAGCGTTTAGTATCGGAAAATAATAGTAGTTTAGAGCAAACAAACAATGTAAAAATGTTATAAATACATAATAGATGTAAACGATTCATACGATAATGAACATGAAATAATTTTATAATTGTTACTTTTGCGCAAATATTTTGTTACGACAATGGAACCATTAGTTCAATAATCTATTAATTACATGAGAATATTTTCTGAAATATTTACAATATAAAACAAATATGTAATTTTATTAAAACGAAAGAACAGACGCAAATACTTTTACCTAACAATTGCATATTTTTTCTTTACATAAAATTTTAACAGTAAAGTGTATATTAAATATTATAAATTTAATTTCTGAAATTATATTTAAATTTCCAAATCGTAATTAATTATGTAAATTTTTCTTTTTAACCAGAAGCCTGAAGCCACTCGAATGATTCCTCCGCGCGGACACAGAATTCCTGGTTGAAAAATAAACTGTAGACGATGGAGGCAACTGATTTGCTACGATCCTCGTTCGATCGTTTATTTTACTCCAGCTTCTGCTGGCACGATGAATCGCGCATAAAAATTGCGAATTTCGTTGTTTATCCTATGCTTCAACCAGAAGAATAAACCGTCCGAAACTGATTCGTTTTATCCATAAAGCACTATCTTTAGTGAGTACAATTAATTAAGAAAACAGCAGGATAAAGAATAGCTTCTAACAGCGTGCTTTTTTAAATAAATCTTCATACTATATCATTCCATAAAATGATTTATTCAAATACCAATAATTCTTTTGCTAGAGAATCCAGCTTTCAAATGTGAAAATTTTAAATTTTTTAATTATTTGCACCAATCTGCTGACGATAGAGCTTGATAATGAAATGTTATGTGATGGGGACCCTTTTATGTAGTTATTCTATATACAGGACCATGTCCATCTTTGAATCACCCTGTACTTAAGATTTGTAACGATAGTCCTGTGCAAATTTATTCAAGACTACTCAACGATGAATCAAAGTTCTTTGTGCTGTAATGTACTGCGTACTTCACTGTAATCCGCTACGATTCCGGATGAATAACGTTCCTTGACGTGATCTATGTGCGTTTAACGTAGCCTCCTCTGAAAATACGATCGCTTGTAAACAATGTGTATGTTTATGCACGTTGAATGTCAATATCTGTCGCGTGTGACGTGTAAAGTAACTAATGTTCCTTGATGGATCGCTTCCGGCACGTTAAACAATGTTCATCGATTGAAAACCGTTCTATCTAATATTATTCTATGGCGCAATATTATGGCGCCGTTTCGTAACCGCCTGATTAATTCGTAGATACAATCTAATTATGATTTAATACGTGATCTTTAACCGAAAGAAAAATATCGTTTAGAACGATACTTTTTGTAAACGATCTTAATCTCTCTTCGAAAATAAAGTGAATTATTCGCGTCTCGTATATTACGAAGTACGTAAAACATTTATTGACCTTCAAGACTCGAATTTCGCTCGAAACGAACGATTTCAAAATAAGCGATTTAGTTCGGACGAATGGATATAAATCTAACGCTCTTTTTAGAAACGAATCTTGAAGGCCGATGCACGTGCAGAAGCGCCACAAGAAAAGTGTTCCGCTTACATAAATCTCATCAGCTTGAAAGCCGCGGGTGCTGGATTACTTCTGTCGTGACAGGCTGCCGGCAGGCTTTCCAACGGAGCTGGTGTAATGTAAACGACGCGGCGTCCTTCTTCGGCCCAGTAAATTGCTGCCTACGAATGAAAATCCAATTCCGGAAATGTCGAGATCAGTTCTGTCAAAGCAACTTCATAACGAACCCTACCCACACAATAATAACGCGCGTAACGAAAATTAACCAAAAACGCACTACGTCTATTTTCCCGCGTTTTTTGAATTCAGTATGCTAAGGATATAGCGATTTAGAAATCTAGGGATCTGGGGATATAGGAATATTCGTATCGATATAGTGCGCACATGTTTCGATTTTGAAGTTTAGATACAGCAATTTATATATCGATATAAAAGTTACGTTCTTTTATACTATTTTTACGCACGAATTTTCAAACGATCGTCTTTTTATTACAACTGATATTCGAATATGAATATTACTTCATAATTCATAAATGTAAATTCTAGTTTAAATAAATAATTATTAAAAAAAGAATTTAAGAAGTTTTATTTTTAATTTCGTACTATTTCAATAGTTGGAATGTATGCATTTATAGATTTATTTTATTTTATAATGTAACGTATTAAAATTATGTAGATCATAAATATTTCTATTTTTTAATAAATTTACCTCAAACATAAAAGATTTGCTTAATTCTGCCGGTCCATAAAGTAAGGTTGATTTCACGAGATGTTTCGTTGAGAACATCGTACCCCAATTTTTTAAATTGAATATAGGTTATATAATAATTGAGATAAATGATACAATTTCTTTCTTGTCTTCAATGATATTTTCTGTAATTTATAAAATAAATCTTTGTAAAATGATACATGTACATTGGAAGATTGAAAGTAGTTTTTTATTACTGTTTATTTTGTTTTTGCGTAGTAGTTTAATAAACACTAGCTAACAGCAAAAATTTGAACAAAATACTTGCTGCTGTGGCATCATCGTCAGTCAATAGGATGTGACGTAATCGCAAACCAGTAGGATGTGTCACGCTAGTCAATTTGGCGCGATTATTTGATTTTTAATTGTTGAAAGCAATCAGAGATCAGTTGTTCACATCTATGAATCAATTTGCTTACACAATTAATTCATTCTTGTCTTAACTATTTATTACAAATATAGATAATAGCAACATTACTTTCTTTCTGTATATTCAACGTTTATATAGACGATAAAATGTTTTATACTGCATGTAGTGGCACTCCTGCGATTAGTTAGTTTTCTATATGTTGGTACTTATAGTAGGTAACGGACAATCACGATTTGAATTAGAAAAGTAGACGCTGTTCGTATGACGATCCTGCAAGTTGTTATAAGAAATTCAAAGAAATATATTGTGTTTTATTCCAAGTCTATGTAGTTCTTTTATTTTGCCTAATAGTTCGCTCCATACAAATTACTTGCAGTGCCATCTTTGAACGCACATTTCATGCAATATATATAGTAGTGACATCTAACTGAGTTTAGGTGCATCTTCCTCATCACATTTTTTCCATTCAATGTATGAACAGGTTATACAAACGTAAACAGATTCTAAAATATGTTTACAAAGTTCTTTCATTATCCATCAAATGCAAATTTTAGAGATAAACTATGAATCACGTGCAAGTAGTTCCTACTTTGACATTTTAATCATTGATTTTTGTTTTAGTAAAGCACTAAAGTATTGAATTAAAAAAATGACTAGTGAAACGCAAATCACTAATATTGTAAATGACATTTTAGTAAGTATATATTATTTCGATTTTATATTAGAATTAAAATTTGATTTTTAAATGTTTACTTTATACATGTTTCACCAAATTGAAGAGAAATCTTTTTTTTCTAAGTATTCAAAATTTTAGTACTTGTTCCATTGATGTATGAAACATATATTATAATTGTTTAATAACATAAATGTATACTTATAATTGTACTAATTTATTTATTGCAGAAAGTGGAAGCTATCGAAGAAGCTTTTAGTTGTGTTCTTGTACATCATCCAAATAGTGAAAACGAAAAACTAGCAACATGGCAAACAGAATTGACTTCTGCTATGTCCAACTTACCCAAAGAACAGCAAGAAGGTGCTGTAAGGCAATTTTTATCTATGGCAGCAGCTATGACTAATCATAGAAGGCTGCAATTATTATTGTCGCTGCTAGAAAATTTAGTTACCTCTAATGTGTTGCCGGCAAGGTATATATTTATAGATATAATATACATTGAAAGCTAGTTAAACTTGCAGAGCATTCAAGTAATAATGTTATTCCAGACTTGTATGCGAGTGTATATTAAGTTGTGACAAACTACAGTATCAGTTAGAAGATTTTTGGGTAGAATGCTTCGTCCTTATTAGACATATAATTGGAGGAGTTGATTATAAGGGCGTTAGAGAAATAATGAAAGTAAGTATTTTAGATATTATCACCAAAGTAACAAAATTAGCATTGTAAATATAAATTTACAAACATTAATAATAATGTTTCAGGGATGCAAAGAAAAAGCTCAAACAATCCCAGCAAGATTGAATACATCTATTCAACCACAATTAAAGGCACTAGAGAATGTAATTGAATACATTTTTGATAGAAGTGCTTGCCTTTTACCTGGATATTTTATAGTGAATGAAATTCAGAAAGCTTATCCGGATGGAAAAAATTGGCCACATTGGGTATGTTACTCTGATGGTAAAGCTTATTACATTATGTTGATAAAATCATATAATCAATATTTTTTATAGAAACTAGCAAAGCTACTTTCAAATTTTGTTGAGAGCTTTCGCAACACGGCACAAATGGTGTCCATAGTAGGACACTCAAAAATGTTGCCGGTAGTGGAACATACCGGCTATGCAGATTTGATTAACCCATGGGTACTCGATACAACTACATTAAAATTTTCATTGAAAGGAAATCTACCTTATGATGAAGATTTGCTTAAACCGCAGACTGGATTACTTAGATACGTATTAGAACAACCATACAGTAGAGATATGGTGTGTTCAATGCTTGGTTTACAGAAACAGGTACGAACACACAAAAAAATTATAGTTTTTAGAGACTAGCATTTAAATGAAATATTTTCCTTACATTGTAGCAAAAACAGCGATGTGTAGCTTTGGAAGAACAGTTAGTGGAACTGGTAATTCTAGCTATGGAACGCGCAGAAAATGAATCTCTACCAGCAGAGGGGACAGATGGAACTGTAGCAAATCACTATGTGTGGTTACATCTCTCGTCGCAACTCATATATTTCGTACTTTTTTCGTACGCTTGTTTCCCCAGTATCGTAATGGCAATACACGATAAATTAGCAGGCAGAGACTTAAGAAAGGGAAGAGACCACTTAATGTGGGTCTTGTTACAGTTCATATCTGGAAGCATCCAAAGAAACCCGTTATCAAACTTTTTGCCAGTATTAAAGTTATATGATCTCCTTTATCCGGAAAAGGAACCATTACCTGTTCCAGATTATACTCAAGCATTATGTACTCATCAAATGGCCATTACATGTATATGGATACATTTATTGAAAAAGGCTCAGTCTGAACATTCAAATATTCATAGACCAATACCACATACTTTGAAACTTCATCACGAATTTTTACAACACTTAGTTATGCCAAATACTTCTCTTTGTATGGGTTCGGATTATCGCATTGCTTTACTCTGTAATGCATATTCAACAAACCAAGAATATTTTGGTAGACCAATGGCAGCTCTAGTCGATACCATACTTGGTACTCAAAAAGGTCAGCAACAACAACCGATGCAAACATTGCAAAACAATGCAGCTCTCGCAAGTGGGCCAACTACTCCGCTATCAATGTCCATCTTAGATTCGTTAACTGTTCATTCAAAAATGAGTTTGATACACAGCATTGTTACACATGTTATCAAACTAGCGCAGTCTAAGAGTAACATGGCATTAGCTCCTGCATTAGTGGAAACTTACAGTAGACTACTTGTATATACCGAGATTGAAAGTCTTGGTATAAAAGGCTTCATCAGCCAGTTACTTCCTACAGTTTTTAAATCTCACGCATGGGGAACATTGTATACCCTCCTGGAAATGTTCAGTTATAGGATGCATCATATACAACCGCATTACAGAGTTCAACTTCTGTCCCATTTACATAGTCTCGCAGCTGTGCCTCAAACTAATCAGACTCAACTGCATCTGTGCGTAGAAAGCACTGCTCTTCGTTTAATTACTGGTTTGGGGTCTGCCGAAGTGCAGCCGCAACTGTCAAGATTTTTATCGGAACCGAAGACTCTCGTATCGGCAGAGTCTGAGGAGTTAAACAGAGCTTTAGTATTAACATTGGCACGGTCTATGCACGTGACAGGAACAGGATCAGATAGTCACAGTGGTACATGGTGCAAGGAACTGTTAAACACAATCATGCAGAACACACCACATTCGTGGGCTAATCATACTCTCCAGTGTTTCCCTCCAGTTCTGAGTGAATTCTTCCAACAAAATAGTGTACCAAAGGAGAATAAACAGCAGATTAAGAAAGCTGTAGAAGAGGAGTATCGGAACTGGGCTTCAATGAGCAATGAAAATGACATAATAGCGCACTTTTCTGTACCTGGCACACCGCCTCTGTTTTTGTGTCTTTTGTGGAAGATGATTTTCGAGACTGATCGTATTAGTCCAATTGCATACAAAATTTTAGAGAGAATAGGAGCTCGAGCTCTGTCAGCCCATCTTCGAAAGTTCTGTGATTATCTTGTGTTTGAGTTTGCTAACAGCGTAGGTGGTCAACATGTAAATAAATGCGTAGATACAATCAACGATATGATATGGAAATATAATATAGTTACCATTGACAGACTGATTCTGTGTCTAGTATTAAGAACTCACGAAGGTAGTGAAGCTCAAGTATGCTTTTTCATCATTCAGTTGTTGTTACTCAAGGCTATTGAGTTTCGTAACAGAGTGCAAGAGTTTGTTAAGGAAAATTCACCGGAGCACTGGAAGCAATCGAATTGGCATGAGAAGCATCTTGCGTTCCATAGAAAATTCCCAGAAAAGTTTGCTCCTGAAGGTATCATGGAACAAGCTAGCGGAGGACCTAGTCAATATCAAAGTTTACCAGTTTACTTTGGGAACGTGTGCTTACGATTTTTACCAGTTTTCGATATTGTTGTACATAGATATCTAGAGATTCCAGCAGTTTCAAAGAGTTTAGAAACATTGTTAGAACACTTAGGATGTTTGTACAAATTTCATGGTATGATTTATTTTCAATTTAAACAATCTTTATATTTAAATTGCTTTTGTCTAATATAATATATTGAATTGCAGATCGACCTGTAACGTATCTTTATAATACATTACACTATTATGAGCGAAAATTGAGGGACAATCCACCTCTTAAGCGACGTTTAGTCTTAGCAGTTCTGGGTTCCCTCAGAGAAATCAGGGCATCAGGATGGGCACTCTCAGAAGCTTATCAAATGTACATGACTCGATCTACCGACGATGTTGTTACTTGGTTACCGGAATTAGATTATTACATACGTTTAGTTCAAAGAATCGTCGAAAGTAAGTAATCTTTTCTTCATAGTGTGCTATTTTTAAATTGTAACCTTTTTCTAACAACTACGTATTACAGCAATGTCAGGCACGGCTCATTTTCCTGCGACTGATTGGAGGTTCAATGAATTCCCTAATCCTGCTGCTCATGCACTGTACGTTACATGTGTTGAATTAATGGCTGTTCCTGTTGCTCCAAATTTAGTTGCTAATTCATTATTAGATGTCGTCGCAAAAGGGTAAGTTAAAACACTTACAAATTCTGAAACATTTATATCTGTTTTTAACAATTTTAATATTTACTAGGTACACAGTGATACCATCAGATGAAATCCATTTATGGATAAATTGTGTAGGATTATTATTAGCAGCTTTACCAGAATGTTACTGGTCAGCTTTACATGATAGACTGGTAGAAACTATTAGCAGTCCAGGCTTAGCGACTTGGCAATATAATAATTTAACACCATTTCAAATGTTCAATTTCAATAATACCCATAATAGTTTATTAGAAAATAAGTATAGTTACATGTTAGCATTGGCGCATTCTGTGTGGCATCATGCAGGTGTAGGACAAATAACTAGTATGCCTCAGTAAGTTAAAAAAAAAGTATTATAGCAAGTTATATTTAACAATAATTTTAATACAGTATAATTTTTAGATTTATTAAAGAGAAACTTCAACCAGTTGTGAATAGCGAAGAGCAACTGATATATGCTTGCCATTTAATTGGCCCGACGTTAGCAAGATTTAATGCTGAAAGGCCACATTGTGTTGTGGAACTAGCGGTTTGTTTATATGAGATGCTGGAACAAGTGGATCGTCTTCAATCTCATTTAAAATACATGGATCCAGTCTGTGATTTATTGTATCCTTTTATTTACGATCTGTTAAATGATCGTGTAACAGATCCAGTATTTTCCTTAATATTAATTTTAATAGGTATCACATAAAATACATGTTTGTTGGTGACATGATGAAGAATGAAGTTGAATGTATTATACGAAGATTAAGGCCTGCGTTGCAAATGAGACTACGTTTTATTGCTCACATAAACATAGATGAAATTCAATCTTCCTGAGACAATCCTAACATGGGCAGTTCGGAAGTAAATCCAAGTTAATATCAAGTATTGCGCTCATATACACATTGTTTTTCTTGTGTATGCACCTTTGCATAAGCAATGTATTATAAATACCCCCGGAATTTTATATCAGAACTTCAAAGTATTTTACACTGCATTTTCTACATTTTTGTTTATGAAGTAAGGAAGATCTACGTACAATAAAAATATTTCAATGAATGACTACGTAACTAGGTCTGTTTGATTGAGGCGCTACTTTCTCATACCACATATGTTCACATTTTTATTGTAAATAATTAGTTATTAATTAATATCCAACGCGGAATATATCGTATGAGCTAATATAAAATAATTAATAATACATTTTCTAAACACAATTTATGTACTTTTATTATAAAAGAATGTTCAGTGATCCCTCAGCTACTTTCTCGTATCATATTTGTTCAGATTTTTAATGAAATTAATTAGTTATTAACTAATAACTTAAGGCCAGTCACGGTGACAAACGGTATACACGAGGATATGGTTTTTCGGTACTTATTCCTCCGTGGCATGCGCGGGCGGCGCGTAGGAGGAATATACACAACAATGAGTATGCAAAATCGTTAATTACTCACTTTTTGAGCACAGTTTATGAACTTTTATGATTAAAGAATGGTCAGCAATGCATTATTTACATGGTTCGATCATAAAAGTTCATAAATAATGTTCGGGTAATGAGTAATTAATTATTTTGTGTCAGCATTGCGATACGTACATGAGCCGCTTACGTCAGTTTTACTGCGCATGCAAAGTGCAATATTTCGGCACTTTGACAACGCAGTATGGTTCCTGAGGCATTTAGAAACAAATTTCTATTAGGGTTTGATGCGTTTTGATGCCTAATAAAGCCATTTGATGCCTAATAAATCCAGGAAATCAATTTTTGTCGAATTCGGTCCAAAACGGTACAGGTGGCGCCATCTAGCGGCAAGCGACGGAACTACGAAAAACTAAAATCCCGATTTTCTCGAAAACTAAGCACTTTTCCGAAATTCTGAGATATACAAATTGTTCCTTGTCGCCTACGGAATCGAACGCATGTAATTATAGCCTGCTAGGACTATTATTTAAGAAAATAGAAAAATAGCCCATTTCATGGACTAAAAAATTGGCGTCCATCTAGCGGTGAAAGTTGGAACTACAAAAATATAAAAATGCGATTTTCTCGAAAATTAGCAAATTCTGAGTACTTCTGAGGCTCAGAAAGTGTCACGTGATCGCATTCGAAACAAAATAAAGCAATAAAAGTTTCCTAAAGGCTTTAATAAAAAAAATAAAAAAAATGTCATTTTATGGAGAAAATTTGTGGCGCCATCTAGCGGCGAAACTGCGAACTAAATTGAAAAAACGTATGTCCGAACACGCAGTAAAGGGATCAAATAAAAATTGATTTTTTGGGTTTAATAGGCAAAAAAATGAAAAACTAATTGAATAAAAATTGTTTTAAAAAGTCTAAAGAAGCATACTACCCCGCCAAAGTTGCGAAATATTACTTTTTATATTTTTCCTTAACGCGTGTACGGGCATACGTTTTTTCAATTTAGTTCACAGTTTCGCCGCTAGATGGCGCCACAAATTTTCTCCATAAAATGACATTTTTTTTATTTTTTTTATTAAAGCCTTTAGGAAACTTTTATTGCTCTATTTTGTTTCGAATGCGATCACATAACACTTTCTGAGCCTCAGAAGTACTCAGAGTTTGCTAATTTTCGTAAAAATCGCATTTTTATGTTTTTGTAGTTCCAACTTTCACCGCTAGATGGACGCCAATTTTTTAGTCCATG